CTAACAAACTGGTATTTATGAGATGGTTTTTCCCATACTTGAAATTTTACTCCTTGGTACTGAACCTATATTTTAACTGCATTTCAAAGGTTTGCTTCTTACATATTCTGGGACAATTTACTCATAAAATATGGACAAGTATGTAACCTATTTCCACTTCTTTTTCCTACTTAAAAACATTTATACATACACATGAGATCATGTTTTACTGCAATTTTGTTTCTTTCTTTCTCACATTAATCTTTACCAGATCATTATATTTTTAATAAGATGTAGGTAAAAATAAAATATGAGATATTTTAGTAGCCACAAGTTACTGCCAAGAGGTTTTTTTGTTCGATACCAGAACTTTTCAAATGGACTGGACCTTTGGTGGCCAAAAGTACATTTATAACTGGCAAGCTACTTCTATGTAGTAAAAGAAACTTACTTTGTGTAAAATATCCAAGCTGGTGAAGCAATGTGGCACTTTATGCCTAACAAAACGAATTAAAATTACATCCAACAGCAAATGTGTATACTCCACGAACAAGTCCACACTCTTTAGTCTTTCCTGTTAACTTGCTAACTATCAACTTTTGATTACACATTAAACATGATTTAGAAGTATAATTAGCCTATTCTAATAGAACCAGAATTTTCAAAGAAAAAAAGAAAACTTGTTTTTATAAATAAGCATATATGCCTACAAATCGGGATTCCCAGATAATTATAGTTCTTGGCCACAGAAGTGCCAGAGTGCGAAGTTGTAGTTACAAATATATAAATGTCCCATAATCGAAATACTATATTACTGTACACCAAACAACAAGTGAAAAAAAAAGTCTACAATACTGTTACATGCCGAGCTTGCACTGTTTATTTCAAGGCAACTGTATTCACACCAGTTGTAAATCAGCTATGATAAGATCATTATGATCGCTAAACATTCCTCTGCTATTTAGCAGGGACCAATGGGCAAATGTTAGCGCCATAAACAGGGTGTCGGCAAGTGGGTGCTTGGCTAATAAGAGTCAGTGATATATCAAACTATAGCTCTCATTGCTTTTCATTGTTCTAGTTTTTTGTGTGTGTGTGTTTGTGTCAAGAAGCATTTTCTATTTGAAAACACAAACAACAGTTTGCTTTATGTCATAACAGGTATGCATCTGTCAATTATGAAACCAATGAGAACACAAGATCTCTCCTTTACTTTAACAGGTATGTTATGCAAGTTCATACTTGATTTGTAACATTTGGTTGTTGACAGTTTTCATTTCATTTATCAGTATAATATAAATTCATGCCTATAGGTTTTAAATTTAAGTATTTTATTAGGGTTACATTTTATCTTGCCTTGTTACAAGTTTCATCCAATTTCTCAGGTTACAAGGTGAAATATTATTTCCATTGTTTCAATTAGATGTTCCCATGGCACAAAATGTCATTTTACATTAATTATTAACTACATAATTCAAATTGCAATGTAAATCTACTCATTTTCTTTACTCTAGAACACAATGGTGTGTAATTTTTTGTTCTTGTTATTTTTCTCTATTTATAATTCAACAAAACCCCCTACTATGAGTTGCATACAAACCCAGTTCCTAAGACCTGTACTCACATGGGAAGAAGAATGTTAACTTGTTTGGTGTGTGTATCCATAGATGTAATAGTGGTAACTAAAAAAAACTAATATAAAAGCACAAGTTCATTTCTTGTGTGTACAAACCTAAGTTTGACTAGTTAATGTTTATCACCATCTCCCTAGCTTGCCCCACAACTAACTCTAATAACATATTCATTGCACTTACCTTATTACCACTTATTACTCCAAATTAATGTCAATGTTTTGTTTTCTATCTGGGGACCAAAAAGTGGATTCATCTGCATCATATATGTACACAGCCAGCTGTTATAAGAAAAAGACAAACATACATATTCCTGTTTACATTATATTGTAACAAGTAATAATGTACATAAGCCTATTATTATTTTCATATAACTGGTACATACATGTAATCTGTTCCTTTTTATCTTCTTGTATGGACTGAAAATATTACAAACAAATAGTAGCTAGTCATACATGATTGAAGTTATTTTAAACCAGTTCTTTCAAAATAATAATTACCTTGCTTATACACAGATACATACATACAACAGATAAAATCTGGCAAATAATGTAATACAAGTATGTATAAAACTCACCAAAATTTTAAATATATATAATAATTCAACATGTGTGTGATGCTCTAAGAAGTATTTTAAGTTAATGTATTTGTATACTAACAAGTCTTGTAATGAATCTCTGTTTACCATAAGATAAATCTCACTACTAGTAGTATAGAAATACATTAGAAACATTATCAACATGTATTAAAGATACTATATCAGAGCATGAAATTCATCCTTTGCCTTGGGCAGGGTTTTTGATGTGCAGAATTGCTCAAAATCAATCTCAGTTCAAGAAGAATATGCAAAACAAACAGAGATCAATTTTAACATAGTTTTTCTCACTAGAAATTGATGAAGAAAGCACTATCAAATCACCAGTAACATTGTGTACTTAACTTAGAAAACATGAACAATACGATTGTTTTGCCATTTATTTCTTCATATTTTAAAATACATACAGTACACTGAATTATTACCCTTATAGTTTTCTACAGTAATGATTACACATGAAACATGTTGAATCTGAAAAACAGTACTTACAAAATATAGCAACAAACTGCAGTAGTGACTAGCATAACCTGGATAACCCTGAAAAAAAAATTTTAATTGGTTCTTAGTCTATGTTTTATTGCATAAATTGACACCAGTATTACATAAAATTGCATTTATTTTAACATCCAGTGTACAAATTTGGTTTTATTTACTTCAAAATCAAAGACCAGTTAGACAATGCTTAATTTGAATGTGAACTAATATCAAAAAATAAAATTTGCAACTGTAGCACAAAAATTTCACGGACTGCAAAAGGTACACAACTGAGCATTATTGTAATCTATTAACTATATGTTTTATACCCTTTGGTATATATTAATAGCTGGATAATAGTTACATATGGAGATGCTCCTTTCATGACACTTACATGATTATTACTTAGTTAAACTAGTGTTGATAAGTCCCCCCCCCCACCCTACACACACACACACATTTTTACAAGACAGGGTGTATGTTCCTGTGTAGGTTGTGTATAAAAGTATCTACACATTAGACCTGAGGCTGTTTTTGTAGTCGGGGTGATATTTACAAATTACAATATCTTGTATATTTTGAAACGTATTTATATTTTTTGACATCAGTAGCCATCTCATAATTTCACCTCTATTAGTGTTACGTTCTAGTTTTGAACTTATATTAAGTATTGATTCGATGCAATTAATAACTGTCAGTAAACTAAATTTATAAATAATATAAAATAATCATGTTATCTGTACAAGCTCACAAACTAACGTACTAAGTACTAAAGTAGAGCATTTGGCCAGAAATTCGGGAAGCGAGTCTGCTGAAAATTTTCTTAATCAGCTAACCTTAGCCTGAACTGAAGTAAAGAATATAAAATTCTAAAACTTGATAGACCTATAGTATAAGGCTCGAATTTTAGGCTAATAATATTAACACTATTAAAATATGTGCCTATTACGGTTCTTTTTTTTTTCAGTAACTGTTCAAACTATATTTTACCGCCTCTTTACCGTTTCCTATTTTACTAATAATAATAATATATCTTAATATTTAACTTTTAAGTCTTACCCTCTGTTTTCACCTTTAGGCACAAACCACGGAACAATAACGCCCACTATACCCCATAGTGAAGTAACAACAATCAAAGGTACTGCTGACATCTTTGTAACTTAAGTTAAATTATTATATACGTTCTTAAAACACTTCTTTTACTTTTGTATGATGAGTGAAAATACAATTCTGACAAAACCGTCACGTGCTGATAATATCGTTAATAGGTGGCGAACGTTAGCATAAACACTGTTGATCAAAGATTTATAAGTTTTATTGATACACTAGTAGTCTAACTTTTTTAGAATATCCGTTTTGAACTATAAGAACTTGTACAGTTCTAGAATTTCAGACAAAACAAACTATGAAAAATGCTGTTAAAATACCTGTTTTCTTTCGAAGGAGCATATGTATATACAAAGAGATACAGAGTCGCCCCAGTGGATGAGCGGTAAGCTTGAAAGATTATAACACTAAAATTCTGGACTTAATCCAAGTAGTGTGCAGAGTGAAGCTAACCCATTGTTGAACTTTGTTAAAACGCACAAAAAACCAGAGTCTGCATAGATAAATTCAAAATGTTTGTTTATATTTTAGTTAAGGTAGTATATACCCTTTAAATGTTTAAATCATATTGTTACGACAGCGGAAGTCACGCGACGCTGGAAGCATGTGCGCTGGAGTTTCTAGAAGGATCATGACTTATCGAGGAACCCCGCAAATGTCCGAGTGTTTGCCAGGTGCCCTCTTTTTTAGTATATAAGCCTGGCGAGAAAAATCAGCGCGATTGCACAGATAGATAGATTGAAGAGATAGATAATTGAGTCCAGCGAACAGTAGGCACCATAAGTAAAGTGTGTGAATCACTGTGATTTATAGCGTATGTTATAAAGGTTGTTAAATTTAAAGTGACTCTGGAAATTCTGTGAATTACAAAGTTGTATCGAGAAAGAATAAACTAGTTTTAATTAAGAAAGGACTTGTATCGCTGAAGTTCCTCAGAAAGAATTTATACCAGAAATTAACAAACAAGCAGATGCGTAACAATATCAATATTGTGTGAAGAAATGGAAAGTATACACAAAACTTTATAACTTCATACAGAGATTCGCTGGTTATCTCGTGACAAAGTTATAGTTCTTGTCAATGAATTGCGAGAAGAGATATGCCTTTTCTTTTTCTTAACATCAATTTAAACAAGATAATCTTCTTGATATTTTTTTGGGTACAGAAACTACAAATCTATCAGATATATTTTCACGCGTGAATAACTAAAATTTACCTTTACAAGGTTCTAATATGAATGTTTGATGATTCAAGATAAAATTTAATCAATGCTTTTAAAATTCATGTTTTAGTCCGACTGTATCTGTAGAAATACTACCGAATGTTTATCTTCTCTCCATGATTTTTTAATCAGCAGATATGTTATAATAAAGGGTGCATAATTCAAATAGCTCTAAGAGAATATTTTCCAGTTATTACTGAATCACTAATTTGGCTCCGCAATTATTTCATTGCATCTCTGTCGGAATTACTCTTGAAGTAGCATGAACAACTCATTTATATATTGTTACGTCTCCGTTCGTTCGTTAATTTTCCGTTAATTCGTTCCGAAGAAACTTTAGCGACACAAGTCCTTTCTTAAATAAAACTGGTTTATTCTTTCCGAATACAAATTTACGATACACTTAATTTCAACAGTCGCTCTGAAACAAACGCTATAACTCACGTCTCACGTGGCCAACAATATTCTGTCCGCATACATTCAATTACTCATTACCTCCCCGTCGCTTCGTGGCCTGTCTTATATATACAAGACTACATTATATCTAGAAGGATCACGAGATTTAAGGAAAGGACGTGAATGTTCGAGAACAACGTGGCGTGATACTAGTCACGTGACCTCGCTGACACAACACTGCCCCTCCTTAGTATTGTTCGTCCTGAACAATAGTGACTTACAATAAACCAATAACAATTAACAATAACTTAATTAAATGTACAGAATTACAAACACAAAATTACAAGTCAACAAAGTTTCTTAATTCTACGGGATGCATCTTCTTCCGTACTGGTTTCCTTCTCGTTGGCTTCTGCTTCATATGGGGTTCATCTGCTTCATCAGGAAATGTTCTATCGTCGACAACAGTCACATCAGTGGTAGTAACTTCATCAAGAGCTTCATTGTTTCCCTTCTCAAAACTGAGTAGAGTTTCTTCTTTGATGGTGGCTTCTTCAGGTGGCACGTCTTCAGCAGCATCATTTGTTCTGTTGTCCACTTCGTCCCAACTGAAATGTCCTGGACCGTGATAATGCCAAAGCCTGTTGGCATGCACCACTTTTGGCTTACCTCGCCGACGACATTTTATCCGGAAAGTCACGTCTGAGAGACGATCCACTATGTCATATGGGCCTTCCCATGGAGAAGACAACTTAGGAGACTTCCCTTTGGTCTTCCTGGGATTACCATACCTTGTCTCCTGGTACAAAGCTGACTTCAGTAGATCTCTTATCATGAGATAGCTTCATCGAATCAGCAGACGTTTTCAAGTTTGAATGCACTTAATGGTGAATATCATCCATCTTTTCCGATAACACTTTCACAGACTCCGACACATTCTCAGGCAACTCTTCATAAGGTGGGCTTCCTTTATGCTTGGGTCCCCTTTTAGCACTACATGTACTGTATGTTCTGCACGTTTGGGAACAACAAAGGCCAAATTCCAGTAAGTGTTAAAAGAGAGGCTGAACTAACCAGGTGTCATCAAGATAAAGCCAAAGTGACTGAAGGAGTTGATGATGGTGGAGTAGAACCAGGTAGGGATATTAAAACAGAGCAGGAGAAAGATCAAGATTTGAAGCCAATAATTGATTTTCTAAAAGCAAGTGTTTTGTGCCCTGCTTTGGAGAAGCTGTCTTGCTTAAGACCTGTGACAAAGAATTATTGGGCACAATGGGACCAGTTGAAGCTTGAAGATGGTTTTCTTGTCCAGAGATGGGAAACTGCAGATGGAAAAGTGACGCCCTGGCAACCAGTTATGCCGAGAAAGTTACGGGAAGTTGTGCTGCGTCAATCCCATGATAGTTTAACAGGAGGACATCTCGGAGTTAAGAAGACATTGATTCACCTACAACAAAGATTTTACGGGAGAGGTATGAGGCAAGATGTGGAAGAATGGTGCAGAACATACAGTACATGTTGTGCTAAAACGGACCCAAGCATAAGGGACATGCTCCAATGAAGTTATATCAAGTTGGTGCACCAATGGAAAGAGTAGCTATTGACATTGCTGGTCCTTTGCCCCAAACTCGTCTGCAAACAGGTACATTTGTGTGGTGATGGAGTATTTCACCAAGTGACCTGAGGCACATGCAATACCAAATCAGGAAGCTACAACTGCAGCTTCGGCTATTAGTGATTTCTTCTTCAGATTTGGTATGCCATACAAACTGCATTCAGATCAAGGCCATAACTTTAAATCAGCTATGTTCCATGAATGTTGCAAGTTGTTTGGCATACGAAAGACCAGGACAAC